TTGGTCAGGATTGAAACTTAAAAACTTGGTCAGGATCGAAATATGCACATATAATGTAAATAAACAAACTGGTAAACAATATGAATGTGTACTTATGAAGCAAATAAATGAATGTATACTCAGGAAGCAAAAAATAAATATATATATTCAATGAGAACTACAGATATATTTAAAAAAATTAATTCTTCACACTGACAATTTTTTATCAGTATAGTCCCCTTCCTTTGGGAGAATGCTTTCCCATTTATGCTATTCTCCAGTTTGCAAGATAGTCAGCTTTATTTGCAGCAACATCTTTTGACTGAGAATACTGGAAAAGAAATGTGAATATTCCAAACCTCGCATGTTATCAGCAGTACAATATTGTCTACTTCTTCATCACTTGCTAAAGATATCTTTTTCCTACTGTTCTGTTACTGCTTTAATGATTTTCATTGCTAGACAGTTTATCATCATATTACTTTATTATTATAACTGCAAAGAAATCAGCATTGATTCTTTGCAGAATATCACATTTAGCTATGTCTGTTATTTGTAATATATTCTTCAGAAAAGATGGCATTTAATGTTATTTTTATCTTTTTCAACCCTCAAATAATGGGGAACAACTGACAACAGCTGTAGATAACTTCCTATAAAAATGGCTGAAGCTTTGGAACTACTTAAAAAACATTCACATTAAGAATTTTGTTTTATTAAACTGTATTGATTATATGGATTTGAAAATAATGGATTTTTCAAAGCTTAATGATAGCTTGATTAATTAGTTAAAGCACTGAAATTTAGCTATATGAAGGGGGAATCTTTATTACTTGCTGAACAAAGATATTTGCAGAATGGGCCAGGCATCCATGAACAATACTTACCATTTTTATTTACAAAATCATTTACCTAATATGATCCCCTGCAATATCACACAGCACCTGGATTTTTTAGATTTATCAATGATTAAGAGCAAAATTTTCATCACAATTTGCTCCATCTGAACAAAATTAGATTCATCACAATTTGCTCCATCTGAACAAAAACGTAAAACTTGGAATGTTTTTCATCAGGGCTATCTTGTCTTCAATAATGGAGACAGCTGGAAATTGAATACCAAAAAAAAAAAAAAAAAAAAAAAAAAAAAAAAAAAAAAAAAATCTATACCAGTTCTATATATTCCTACCAATTCATTTCCAATCCCTTACTTTTTATTCTGCTCATTTAAAATGTGATGCCTTGACGTTTTTTCATTAACCCTCCTTCAATACATCAATAGCACTCAATATTCTTTTCTGCCATTTCTATTTCATTTTCTCAAGGAAACAACTCATCAGTTGCCTTATTTATCAGTTACATTTGTTTAAACCATTTGAGAAGTGCAAACTTAAGGTCTGTCTTGAAAACTTTTCCTTGAGCTTAGAATCTCACATCTCAACACTGACAAAAAATATTTTTCATCACATTCAAACAGAACTGAGTAGTACAAAGAAGTACTTTGCAAATACTGATCTGCTTTCATATACTCTCAATGAATTTGACAATTTTTACTTTTTTTCTAAGAGACACTACTTTCTTTTGATCAGAATGTTTCAGCAACATGAACCAAAAATTAAAGTAGGCAATGAGAGACAGCAAATCTCAAATTAAATAAGAGCATTACTTTGATATGTAGCACACTCTAGATTTGGTTTCTTACCTTATAGGAAATATCTAAGTTACCAAGAGACATTCTAGTTCCTCTATCCAAGAAAAGCTAGATCAACAAACACTCACACTGACCAATAAATCATAATTTTAGTTTTATGCAACCATATCCTCTCCTTTCATGGCCACAAATACAGAACAATCTAAAATCCGGACCTCCGGATCACCACCAAATTTTTTCCTCATGCTTTAAATTTGCCATAATACAACAGGTGGAGAGTCTCAATTCTTAATTTTACTTTGGCACTGATGCCAACCTGGGGAATCATTATTTATTAGTCATTATATATTAATTCTGTTTTGGCATTTTGTATTGGTTCATTATACACAGTGTTTCACTTTTCAAATTGTTGCCATTAAATATTAGAGCCCGGCATGATATTTAAAGAAATTAAACAATGAAAAATCTGCACAAATGTATCTATGGCTCTTGAATTGTGAAAAAAACCTAGAGACATCAAAGTTTGAAGAATGCAGTCCTTCACCAAATTTGAGCATCTGGAAGCCCAAATTTGGAATTTTTAAAACTTTAATGAATTTTTGATTAACAAACTCAATGATTTAAAAGTGTTCCATTAACATCCCGTGCATCTTCAAGTACGGATATTTTATGCGCGAGGTTTCTTCACATTTTATGTTGGTAACGTAGCATCACAAAGACATTACAATGTCAAACGGTATTTTGTGTCGATAGACTTTGATCGTCTGTATCACTTTTGAAATCCCATTTTGAATCCCCCATGCAAAAAATGCCCCTTTGGGCATAACATAAAATTAAAAGCCTTCAGATTTAATTTTTTTTTTTTTTTTTTTTCTATTCTTTCAGCATCCTAAGATTATTGACACACTACAGCTTGAAAAATGACTCACACAGTGATGTCTAAATATTTTTAGCCCAAAGCGCATAAGCCCAGAAAAGCTATTAATTTCATTTTGGCATTTTGTGGTGAAAACTTTAAATGTCAGTTCACTTTTCAAATTGTTGCCACCAAATATTATCGCCCTATGTTATATTTAAAGAAATTAAATAATGAAGAATCTGCATACACGTATATATGTGTTCTCACATTGTGATAAAATAACAGTACCTAGAGCCATCAAATTTTGAATAACGTTTTCTTCCACCAAATATGGGCATCTGGAAAGACCTAATTTGGAATTTGAAATTTGTTTTATTATTGATTTCATATTTTGTAACACTTCAACAAATGTTTTATTAACTAACTAAATGATTTTGTGCAATCACAAAACTGTATGGGGAAAAAAAAAAAAATTACCTCAAGCATGCAAGACTGTGTATCGGAAATGGCTTAAGTGCAAAGAACATTTAATAAATTAAGGTAACACACAAAAGGTTAAAAAAAATAAAAGTCCCTTTGGGTGTAATGTAAAATCTAAAAGCTTTCAGATTTTTTTTTAAATTTTTGTTTAATTTTTAATATTAGTAATTGAATACTAAACAGCATGGTACCATTTTATGTTGGCATTATGCTTGGTGACAATTACAGACTTCAGATAACTGTTGTGAAGTGTTGAGTATGCTAATCAGGAAAAATTTAAGAGAAATTTCTCTGCATGTGCAAAAAATATGAATTTGAAAATGATACTCATAAGCCAAAAGATTACAGTTAGTGCTATCTGAATTGGGAATAAATGATTTGTTATTCAATTAAGCTCAGAATCAGTAGTAGCTGGTAGGGTCCCACAGGGCAGTAGAATTTAGGGTAGACAAAATTTTTAGAATTTAGAGAAACTCCAAGCAACAACATGAAAGGATGGCAAAATCTTTAGAGTTTAGGGAAGGCACTGGGACATAATTTAGAAGTGTCGAAATTTTTAGAACTTTAAAGATTTTTTTAGATTTACACTGTACTGGGCTACAAAATGTCTAGCATCAGCCCTGGATAAGTATATGTGTAAATTTAATTATTCAGGACTCAGATAAGTCTTATGTATACGCAGTAAATTGTCATAAATGTAATAAATGACTACACTTATATAATTCAGACTTAATCAACATGCGATAGAAGAAAGACAAAATTTAACAGAACAACATTATTATATTCACTAATCTTATGATACATTGCAAATAGTGTGTAGTGGATGTTAGCTAAGTTTTAGGTTGATAGCTATAAATTTGAAGGTTTTCAGATATCAGAAAGAAAAAGGGATATTTTTCCAATTAATCAAATTTGTGAAGTAGTAGTCATAAGTAAAGATGATATAATAGAAGTTGTTCATTGTGATGAACAATGCTCGAATCATCAGTCAACTAATGCACAGCAAAATCTGGAGTATGGTTCTAAATCCAGATAATATTGCTGCCAATAGTGAAGAGAGTGACAGAGAGGTTGTTGAGAATAAAAAATTTCGATCGACAATTAAGTGCGAATTCTCAACACAGCAATAACAGGACATGAGAATCATAACATTTTGTAACATAACAAGAAATTATGTTTATCTATAGAATAAAAGATAAAGTATTAGCACAAAAAACATACCATATTAATTAACTTATATCAAAAGAAAACCAGAAAATTCCCAATTCCAGAATTGTCAAAGTCCTGATGAGTTCAGACCTTGATTTGGTTTATTTAATTATGGTAAAGCACTCGAGGGCTATCTGCCTAAGGAGAGGTATGCCTTCGTTGACAACTTTCTAGGGAAAAGTGGCACGTATACAAGTTACACATGGGAAAAACCACAAAAATGCCCATGCAACCAGCCCATCCACCAGGATTCAAACCCCCCAGATCTTGGACTTTGTACTGTATATATAAATAAATAAATAGGGAGTTTGCTTTCAAAAACAGAAAAACACATCACTCAAAACATAATCATGTATCAGGCATCATTCTCCCGGTAGATGGGGAAAAAAAGCATTTTTTTAAGGGGGCAGAGGATTAAATGATAAAATGAGAAGTATATATGAATGATGTCTTTAATAAAGAATGCTTAAGGGGGAAAGGTGCTCTCTAGCAGCAAATTTATCTCACATTGGGGGCTGATTCAACAAGAGTTTACAATTATTTTAATCAATTCTTTATTTAATGAACAATTCACAAAGAACGTTTTAAAGTATATTACAACATTTATTAAATTTTGCAATGAGCAGTTAAGTACAATGCTGTGTCAACAGGATTGGAATACATAAAGTGAAAGGAATAATACAATACTTAAGTGTTTCTAAATTATTTGTGATAAGAAAATAAACTATCACTCATTATCAGATATATTATATACATTTAACACAATAATGTTAATAACAATTTTGAACACATTTGTGTCATAAAATAATCAAAGAAACTTACTGTGATAAATATCTTGCAGTGATCCTCCTCCACAGAATTCCATACAAATCCATAATTTATCTCGCCTAAGAAAAATTAGATTTTTTTTTTAAACAACAGGTACAAATCAAATACTTATTTATATAGTTACTATATTTAAGTATATGTCACTAGAATTTACACATAAATTATTAAAATAAGCAAAATGCCTAGTAAATATTTAATCTTTAAAATAGCATAAAAAACTAAGCTTTAACAATCTGCTACATGTAAATTTGATTACCCATGAAGATGGATTTCTAATACCCCAGATCTTGAACTTTTCAATTATGCAAGTATCAGCAGCATTATCATATCAGACGGCCACAACATAATCATACATGTACATTTTCCAGCAGATTAAATTCTCCTATCTAACAATGTCATACTTAAAGTCATTAACTTGCTATTAACATCCGCAATTTAGACATTTGCTTGAATTACCATTTTTCTTGTATATTTTAGAGTATGTTCAGAGTACTGCCACAAAGCTCACCATAGGCATGCAGAGACACATATGCTAGTACACATGGATTACCATACTTTATATTTAACTGTCGCTTTGCTGCACAATATCCACTGGCTATAAAATATAAATATTGGCTATATAGAAGTTGTTTTCCCTCACAAAATTTCTTGTTCCTTATAAAATTATTCTTTTCATGATTATCTTTTAGTACAACAATACTTATGATTAAACAAGATAGCTAAACAAACATTTTTTACCAACGAAGTTCCAATAAGTTGACAACTTTTAATGGTGGCAAGAATAATAAGTACCAAAATTAGCATATAAGAGCATCAGAAACAATTTATACAAAAAATTATTTTATTATCAAAACTGACAAACATTATATAAGTAGACTAGAAGAGAAACACGCTAATGTGACAATCAAAATCATAAAAACAACCTTGTATTTAGCGTAAGTATATTGAAACACTCAATCGATTTAGAGGGCAGCTAAAGGTCCCTCCTCATCAGGAGAAAGAAATACCTAGAAAGAAGAAAATAAAGGGGAAGGAGTCTCAGAAACACCTGGTCCTTATCAGCACTGCACGTGGTTATAAACGGATTTTTAATCAGAGTTACACTGGCCGCCTACTTTTACTGAGCCAGTCTATCTGATCAAACATATAAAGGACAAGAAAAATTAGCAAAGTTAAAAATAGGGAGCGAGGGGCAACTGCACCTTCACACTTAAAATCTGAACTTCGAATAATGGAAAGCAACCACTGAATGGATTTTTATACCCTCTGGTAGTACCAAACGCGAGGAGGTAACGCCATCTATCGGCAAAAATAACTGAATTAAGATTTTAAAGGCATTAGGAAGGACTGGATTGCTCTTCAAATCATTAACTAAACATGCACTATTTTGAGATGAAATTATTTGATAAACTATCTTTTCGTCTTTGGATTTGGTATGTTGACGACACTTTCGCACTTTTTGACGGTTATAAAGAAGATTTATACGAGATTCTATCTATTATGAATTCAAATGATCATCCAATTCACTCTTGAAATTGAATCCAACAATTCCCTCCCCTTCCTTGATATTCTTATAATCCGCAATGAAACTGATTTTAGCACTACTGTGTACCGTAAACCCTTTGCAGTTTGTTTACCACCCCATGCCAAGTCATGCCACCCTGTTAAGCAAAAAATGGCTTCTTTTTACTATTATGAATTATGCGCGCTTAAAAGTTTGTTCCTCTGAATCTTTGCTTACCAATGAACTTAATTATTTGAGAGCAGTTGCGATTGACCGTGGATTTTCTCCCGTGATTATTGATAAAGCCGTCAAAAAAAAAAAATTTTCAGATTCCCATCAAAGAAGACATTCCACTGTTAGAAATAATATCAATGACCTTGTCGTGCTTCCTTTTTTTATCCTTCTGTTAGCTATAAAATTGCACGGATTCTCCAGAAATTCAATTTTCAAGTCGGTTTCTCCCCTATTAATAAAAAATTCACCCTTCGATTCTAAAAGATTTCGTTTCTGTCTTGAATTCTTGGGGAATTTATAGTATATCATGTCAGTGTGGTTTATTTAAGATATTGGCCAAAAAAAAAGAGCGTTGAAGTTTCGTATCAAGGAACATGAATCTTATGTCAAAAAAGGGAAATTAACAAGTCTTCAATAGCGTATCATAGCTGGACGTTTTAACCATATAATTTTGATTTTGGGTCTGCAAAAATCATCCAAAAGGCTTCTCTTCCATAGGTGAATTGGATTTTTCTTCAGGCTTTTTCATATTCACAAAGATTTAGCATGTTTAGTTAATGATTTGAAGTCCAATCCAGTCCTTCCTAATGCCTTTAAAATTCTACTATCTTAATTCAGTTATTTTAGCCGATAGATGGCGTTACCTCCTCGCGTTTGGTACTACCAGAGGGTATAAAAATCCGTTCAGTGGTTGCTTTCCATTATTCAAAGTTCAGATTTTGAGCATGAAGGTGCAGTTGCCCCTCGTTCCCTATTTTTAACTTCGCTAATTTTTCTTGTCCTTTATATGTTTGATCAGATAGCCTGGCTCAATAAAAGTAGGCGGCCAGTGTAACTCTGATTAAAAACCCGGTTATAACCACGTGCAGTGCTGATAAGGACCACGTGCTTCTGAGACTCTTTCCCCTTTATTTTCTTCTTTCTAGGTATTTCTTTATCCTGATGAAGAGGGATCTTTTAGCTGCCCTCGATATCGATTGAGTGTTTCAATATACTTACGCTAAATACAAGGTTGTTTTTATGATTTTAATCATTATATAAGTATCAAAGATAGCATTTTTGTAAGATAAACTTCCAGACGTAGCTGCTACTTGCAATGTATTCTTGTAAAATACGAGTGATCTCAAATGATGCTATTTCCTCTTTTCAAAACCCAACTGATGATGGCAAACCTTCCAGGTAAATAAAACCTCCTTCCAGGATGACTGAAGCTTTTGCATTACTTGAAGAATACTCATGCCAGGAATTTCAGAGCACTCGGAACACTGTGCCAGAACAGTTAAATAACATAACAGCTTTATTAAGATCAAATTTTGATTCTACAATGCCTTTCAAGTGGGATTTACAAGTTAAGTTTGCCAATATTGTTTTGATCTTGTATAGCATAAAATAACCTGGCTTGTACAGCTTTCTCATTTCTTAAAATGAAACAGTCCTGATCATATTAATAGATTCACTTGAAAGGAATATTCTAAAACTCACCTAGTACTTTGGTATAAGCTTCACAATTTAAATTGAGAATAAATTCAGCTGCTTTAATTTCATATGGTTTTTATCAAAACTAACAGTAATACAAATACAAATTTATAGTTTTATTTGAGAATCATCTGAAAAACTATCAAGAAGTCTTCTGCTCCAAAAAATACGAAATCCAAGCTCTCCAATCAGTTAATATAAGATACTGCAATTAAATTGACAGAGAAATGTTTTCTAGGTTAGTCTATATTTAAGGGTACCCCTTGGATTATCACCAAGTTGCTGTTTCATTTATCACCAAGTTGTTTCATTTATGGTAACCTCAGTGGTTGAATGTTATGCAAACCCTATGAGGACGTGACTGGTTTAATGTATGATAGCGGTGATTTTTGACTGATGAAAAAATATTTGTAAGGCCTTATTTATGTGTTAGATGTTGGTTAGGAAGTATGTAAATTATTTTGTGCTTTACACTGTAAATGCCTGCTGATGGTACAATTAACCTGAAACTTCTCTGTACTTTAGAACCACTGGGAAAGAAAACGTTGATTGACTGACATGTAAAGATTTAAATGGCTTCGTTCACCTCTCAGTAAATTATGCAGGGAGATTTAAGGATTTGGAAACCACAGCTCTTATCAACACTATGGAAGTTATGTGGGGGTGTAATAAAAAAGGATTTTTGAAAGAAATGCCACCGACGGTATGGAGGATATTTTTCGTTTTTACTTTTGTGAATTTATGTGGTGATGGCAATATACAGATTCTAGTTTAGATAATTTTAAATAATTTTTAGATGCTGTTAAGGAATTCTGTGTGTCACATATACAGAGGAAACAGAAATTTTTAAATAAGGTAAGTCAATATGTCCTTTTTACACTTTGTAGATTAGATAACATGTATCTCCATTATATTATTTCTTTGTTTGATTTAAAATACAGTTTATTGAGATTATATAATTTTTGTTTTAATTATATTTTATTGCATTATGTTTTGAATGTCATTTTACTGGGAAGGGTATTGGAAGTAATCAGAAATGGCGTCAATTTTCGCCAAGGGGTACCCTGAAATATATTTTTACCGTTTTCTGTATTATATTCTAAAAACCATTTAAAATAAGAAATAATATGAAAATAGATGACCTACTGCTCCAGTAACAATTTTCTAGTAAAAAAGATAAGATATGGAAAGAAACTAAAATATTAAACTGCAGAAATGGTTACTAGCAATGTCATCCAAATCAGTTAATTTAAAATAACTAAGAGATCTCCTCTTAAAGTCAGAATATCTAATAACAACTTATCAAATGTATACTACCTCAGGTAAAATTACCCTTGATAACGAAATGAGGCTTTCAATACGTAATACAGGAAAATTAGTTAATTATCATCGATCATCATTACTCGTATCTATTAAAAATTACTTAATTATCATCATGATGAGAAATAAAATATCACAAAAATAAATGAAAAACATTGAATTGTAAGTGTAGAAAGATGGCGTGTACTTATTATCAGATTGGTCATAAAATTTATCCATTTAAGAAATACCACAAAATAATATATAATCCCTTTCACCAAAGAATTCACTTTGAGTTGCTTCCGTTAAAGGTACATCTGGATTACGTATCACGAGGTAAACATTTCAAATTCATGCAATTAAAGTAGTCATATTACGATACAAAAACAAATTTATGATGAGAAATATCTTTTTTTTTTTAAATAAATGTAATATTAACATAAAAATTTCACTGATGAGAACCATATTTCTGCACTGATGAACAATTAAATGTCAAGTTAAAAATACCGGAATAAGTTCTAGTTCATTTAAGAAATCTAGTTTATTTTAACAGAACGGAAATGAGAAAATCTCCTAGCAGATCATTACAGTCCAAAAATAACATGGATGAATACAGAGATATTCAAAGATTGATTCAGAACTATATGTGTTCTTAAAGAGATGGATATTTTTTTAAGAGTTACCAGAAAAAGTATTATTATTAGATAATGCACCTTCGCAATCACATGAGACCATTTTAAACACAATGGATGATCTAATGACAATTAAATTTTTATGTAAAAATGTTACCAATTTTATTCAGCCAATGTATCAAAGTGTTGCTGAGAAAGCTAATGATTAAATAAAGTTTCAGAATGGATGCCATACATGGAGTAGCAAAATCTTAGTTGAAAGTAAAACCAATAATGCTGGTTTGATCATGGAGGAAGATTCTTCCTAATACAGAAATTGGAGACTGATCTAATTATGAAAAAATCAAGGCAATAACTGAAGTTGTATGTCAAAAAAAGGTGCTACTTTGGTAGACGGTTAGACGGATTATGGCGAATTTTTTTTTTTTTTTTTTTTTTTTTTTTTGGCAAGCAATACGACTTATGGTAAACCCATTGTTGGACAAGTTATTTATGATACCAATACTTTGTTGTCATTTTATTTAAAAAATAATCAATTTTATTATGCATAAATTCCGTGTTTTAAATATTAGTTATAACTTCTAAATATTAAAAATCAATTTAATTTTGCATTTTTACTTGAAATAAAAATTTTATTGTTTATGATATTTTGTATAATTTATGTTGTGGATGATGTAATCAATGATGTCGCCTTGCTTTAAAAGTAGTTGGTTTTAATATCTATAAATGTATTCTAATGTTTTAAACATTATTTATGGCTGTTAAATACTAAAATACAATTTAATTTTGCATTTTTTTAAATGATTTTATTATGTATGATTATTTAAATAATTTTAATTCTAGGCGCGATTTAATCAGCGCCCTGATTGATTACTGAATATTTGTGCATTGCCGCACCATTTTAAAATTTTATTATTCATCTCTTCAAATTCCTTAGATTTCATTGAAAACGGATATGTCCCTTTCAAATAAGATTATTGTTATTGTAAGTAACAAGAATTATTGGTATCAGAATAAAGAAATTGTCCTTTGAGACCTTATTTTGGCCAACCTGGCTTTCCTAATCAAAGATTTATTTATAAATTGCTACAGGGGTCAGAGGAAATTTATTTTAAATTTTTGGAGGAAACCTCGCTAATTGCTTCTTCAATGAAGTGCGAGAAATGTGGATCATAGAAGAAGATCATTAGGAGAGCCGATTCTAAGGACGGGCATATATTGTATTGTGATCACAGTGGAAGAAATAACCACTGTAACCGTAAAAAAAAAAAGATTAGACATTCCTCTTTTTTTACTGGCAATAAACTAATTGCTGTCATTTTAGCTCTAGCGTACGGAGCGTTCTTATTTACTTATTTTAAAGTATTTAAGTAATATTTTAATTCTTTTAAATGTTGGTATGATGGTTTTTAATTCGACATTCAATTTACGTAATATTTTAATCCAATTAAACGTTGCCACAATGTTTTTATAGGGGTGTATTCTATTTCTTTGCTATATGAAAGTAATAAATTAACTTGCTTTAGTATTTTATACTCGTAGTAAATGTCATCTTAAAAAACAATGTTTTTATATGTAATACATTTACTATGAGTATAAAATACATTTACTACGAGTATAAAATACTAAAGTAAGGTTAAATTATTACTTTCATATAGCAAAGAAATAAAAATCTTAAGGTCTTAAAAAAAGAACGTTTTTTAAGACCTTAAAATTATTACCTATTATGCGCAAAATGCGTAAAAACGGTGTTTTTAAAATGGCTGACAATTGTAAAAACCGCGCCAACAGTTGCACCAAAGTAAATCGCCAAAAATCCGTACAACCATCTACCAAAGTAGCACCGAAAAAAATTGAAAATGTAAAATTCTTTTAAAATATTGATAGAGAAAGCATAAAGGTGGGAACAAACATTGTTTGTCTGATAGCAATTCGGCTGAGCCCGGCAAGTTTTCAATACTCGAAAGATGCAGATATTGTTTCAAATGCCATAAAAACTGAAAAGGTGAGTGCTCTTGAAAATAAGCAAAGAAGATACTGATAATTACATTACTCCCAAGACAGCAACTTCAGCTGAAACTCTATGTGACTTTGTCTACCAAAAGGGATTCCAATATAGTGATAAAATAGCACTTTGAAAACTACACAGATAAATTTGAAAACCATTTTAATATTCTCAAAAACAAAAATTATTGATGTTTTTATGAAATAAGCACATAAATATGCATGAAAATTGACTGCTTGGATTATCTGTGAACTGCATCCCCAGCATTTTAGCCCAAATGATCGAGAGTACACTATATAATATCTATGCTATGGACTAAATGAGAACAAAATGGAATTAAAAGAAATGAGAATGTATGCTAAATTGTGGTATACATTATGAAGATGTCAAGTTATAATATAACTTAATATTTTTACCAGTGGATATTTCACATGTGCATATTTTACATTTCTCTAATACTGCAGTTCGTGAAAACTGCTCTTTCTTTCTAAATAACAAAATTTGCCTTTTTTTAATATATATATATATATATATACAGAACCAATCATGAGTAGCACACTGTGTTCAGCAATAATTTAATAACTCAGTCTTTTTAGTATTCTGTACCAGTTTTCAGAAAACATGAACTTTTGAAAATATTCATAATTAATTAAGAATTATTTCAGTTCATTTTTATATGCATGGATTAATCATGAGTATAATTACAAAAGTAATTTTACAAACCTCAGATAACTTCCAAAATATGCAACAATATTTGGATGCCTACATGATTTCATCATTAAAATTTCTTGCTGGATAATAGAAAAATCATCACCTACACACAAGAACATTTAATTATTAAAACAAATAATTTGCAGAATTTTCACTAAATTTTGAGACGCATAATAGAAATAAATTTACCTGGCTCCAGCTTGATAATTTTAACAGCTGAATATAGTCCATCTTTAACTCTCTTAGCCTGCATAAAACAATTTCAAAATTCAATATAAAACTATAGGTTTAATCTTAACTTATAACATTACTAAAGATTTTATTAAAATAGCCCTATCAATAGAAAAGTAATAAATACTGATTTTGTACTAATCAAGCAAAACATATAAACTTAAAACTTCACATTAAAATTTAGAAAACTTTCAAAAGTCTTTACCAACTAAAAAAAAACTTTAATTAAAAAAGTCATTAATAATGTAACAAACTATAAAAATACATAATATAATACTGTTTAAAAAAAAAATTTTAAAAAACATTATTGCATATAATTTTTATACATATACAGTCAAAAGTCGTTAATTCGGACACCCATAATCAGGACCTCAAAGCTACAAACTTTCTGCTCATGCGTCGCGTTCACGCATGCGCACAGGCGTTTACGAGAGCGTGTAAGACTCTTACGGCTGCGAATATGTTTGTGCGCATGCGCATTTAATGTGTAACGAAGTTATACGCTAAGCTAAAGTTTCTAATTCAGTTAATGTTTGCAGATTGTGGTTGTTCCTTAATCTTTGAATGGATCCGGCTTATTATTTTTTGCAGACTGTTAGAGAAATTTTCATAAAAGTAAGCTTGAACTTTCGATTATGTCAAATAGAATTTCCGATATATATTTACTACAAAGCGAAAGTATAGGTTTTGAAATCCGAAATCCGTTTATCAATTTCACGCTGCTGCGGCAGAGGGGGGGGGGCAGAAACGTCATTATTAGATTATGATAGATTAGAAAGATTATGTCAAATAGAATTTCCAATATATATTTACTAATATGTAATTTGTATCTACAAAGCGAAAGTATGTTTTGAAATCCGAAATCTGTTCATCAATTTCACACCGCGGATTGGAAGTTGATCTGTCAGCACTATCCTTATCTTCAGGGCAGATGTTTTATTTTATTTGGTTTATAATTCCGTACTAAGTGTAGTATTTCATCTCGATGTACTCCGTCTTTGATATGATTTAAATCAAGATCCTCGTCATTATAATTTGCTTCCGATAGTGAAGAAAGTGACCCAGAGGTTATTGAAAACGAAAACATTTCAATTGACAAATTAGTCGGTATTCTCGACACAGCAATTATAGGACTTGAACAGCAGAACTTTGTAACTGAAGAAGAAATTATGTCTGTTTATAGAATTAAAGAGAAAGTATTATCACATAAAACAAAGCAACTTAAACAACTTACATTGAAAGAAATGTTTAATAAAGTAAACAAATAAATATTAGCTTTTTTCTTTTGTAAATTTTGATACCCTTTAGATCAAAATTGTTCTTTATTTCATAAATTGCGGTTTCATATTTTTAATTTTTTAATTTCTGCATGCCATCTTACCAGATTTAAACTGATGATCTATAATCCGGAAAAATCGATAATCCGAAATCGCCGAAGTCCCAATGAGTCCGGATTAACGACTTTTGACTGTACTAACATTTTAGGGATAAATTTTCTAAATGAAAAGTTTTATGGAAAATGAAAAATGCATATCGATTCATAAGGAAACACAAAATACAAATGCCCCTCAATGCATATGTAGAAGGTCACATATCTGTGACATCTTTATCATATACAGTCAAAAGTCGTTAATTCGGATTCGTCGGACTTCGGCGATTCCAGATTCGATTTTTCGGATTATAGATCATCAGTTTAAATCTGGTAAGATGGCATGCAGAAATTATAAAATTAAAAATATGAAACCGTAATTTATGAAATAAAGAACAATTATGATCTAAAGGGTATCAAAATTTACAAAAAAAAAAAGCTTAATATTTATTTGTTTACTTTATTAAACATTTCTTTCAATGTAAGTTGTTTAAGTTGCTTTCGTTTTTATGTGATAATACTTTCCTCTTTAATTCTATAAACAGACATAATTTCTTCTTCAGTTACAAAGTTTCTGCTGTTAAGTCAAGTCCTATAATTGCTGTGTCGAGAATACCGACTAATTTGTCAATCGAAATTTTTTCGTTTTCAATAACCTCTGTGTCACTTTCTTCACTATCATGGGAAGCGAATTATAATGACGAGGAATTTGATTTAAATCATATCAAAGACGGAGTACATCGAGATGAAATACTACATTTAGTAAGGAATTATAAGCCAAATAAAATAAAAACATCTGCCCTGAAGATAAGGATAGTGCTGACAGGTCAACTTCCAATTCATTGCACGCCGCAGCATCCCCCCCACCACCACCGGCCGCTGCAGAGCAACATGAAATTGATAAACAGATTTCGGAATGGTTAGATAAATAAAGGATTATGCCTTTATCCATTTTTTGCAGCAATTCCACTTTTTGTTTAATGGACTTTGAAACATACATTCGCTTTGTAGATTCTTTACATATTAGTAAATATATATATCGGAAATTCTTTTTGACATAATCGAAAGTTCAAGCTTACTTTTATAAAATTGCTCTAACAGTCTGCAAAAAATAATAAGCCGGATCCAATTCGAAGATTAAGGAACAATGCAATCTGCAACATTAACTGAAATAAATAATTAGATAATTTTAGCTTAGCTTATACCATCCGTTACACATTAAACACGCATGCGTAAACGTATTATGCGCATGCACACGCATATTCGCAGCCGTAAAGATCTTACGCATGTCAATGCGACGCATGCGCAGAAAGTTTGTAGCTTTGAGGTCCGGATTATAGATCATTCCGGATTATGGGTGTCCGAATAACGACTTTTTATGTACTTTCATCCTATATGTACGGATGCCTATATTGGCTAATCATTTCTATGCCTGTTTGAGGGCTAAGGCTGCCAACCTTAGCTCTCAAATACTTTTACTCAATACAGTCAAAAGTCTTTAATCCGGACATCCATAATCCAGAATGATCTATAATCTGGACCTTAAAGCTACAAACTTTCTGCGCATGCGTCAACAAACACGCATAATACGTTTATGAATGTGCGTTTTATGTATAATGGATGGTATAAGCTAAGCTAAAATTATCTTATTATCTATTTCAGTTAATGTTGCAGATTGCATTGTGCCTTTACTTTCTAATTGAATTTGGCTTATTAATTTTTGCAAACTGTTAGAGCAATTTTATAAAAGTAAGCTTGAACTTTCGATTATGTCAAAAAGAATTTCCGATTCTGGAGCTACCAAAGGATCTACAAAGCAAAAGCATGTTTCGATGCCCATTAAACAAAAAGTGGAATTGCTGCAAAAAATGGATAAAGGCATATCCTGTGATTCTCTAACCATTCCGAAATATGTTTATCAATTTCACACTGCTCTGCGGGGGGAACGACACATCGCGCAATGAACTGGAAGTTGATCTGTCAGCACTATCCTTATCTTCTGGGCAGATGTTTTTATTTTATTCGGCTTATAATTCCTTACTAAATGTAGTATTTTATCTCAATGTACTCCGTCTTTGATATGATTTAAATCAATTCCTCTCATCATAAATATCACGAATACACATCAAATAGTTTTCTGGTTGCAATTTTCTAATTTCGACTATGCGTAATGTATGCTTTACGCATGCGCGCGTTGAAAAGATGTTTAATAAATTAAAACAAATAAATATTAAGCTTTTTTTTTTTTTTTTTTTTTTTTTTGTGTGTGTGTGTGTGTCTAAATTTGATACCCTTAGATAATAATTGCTCTTTATTCATAATTACAGTTTCATATTTTAATTTTATAATTTCTGCATGCCATCTTACCAGATTTAAACTGATGATCTAATATGGAAAAACCGATAATCCGGAATCGCCGAAGTCCCGACGAGTCCGGATTAAGACTTTTGACTGTATACATTTTTTTGCATAGGACAGTGCTTTAATAAGCTTTCCTGTCCTTGACCTTTTCTTTGGTTTAATAAAAATGCCAAATGTTCTTTATTTCAGAATTAAACATCTCTTGCAGTTAAATGATGTTTGGCACTATAATTTGAACAATTCTGCTGGCTCTTCGCAACATCAAAATTTCAAGCTTACTTTTTACAAAATTGCTCCAACAGTCTGCAAAAAATAACAAGCCGGATCGGATGATCTTTACATTATGGTAACTTGGCGTTTTTTTGGCGAAAATTTGGCGACCAACTCTCCTACAGCAACCCTCTATTTTTTTTTCCCGCCGCCATTTTGTCTTCACGAAGTAAAGACATGTTTCTTTTCTTTTTATCTACTGAACAGTTCTTCCAACAATCTACTAGCCGAATTACACTTGTGCTAGAAATTTTATCTAACAAAACTGCTTAATCCTGACAAATATTCACTGCAAAATTGGGAAAAAGTGCACAATACCATACTCCTTACGTGTTTTTCAAAATAATACATACACATAAACCATGTACACGCCAACTTATTTTTACTTAAAAAAACATCCCAGAATGGCACAAAAATGGCCCGCACACTCTTCACTATATCCATGTACTGCTTTTTTCTCATAAATTAGGAAAATTTCACGAAAATACATGACATTTTCTCAATCTTTTAAACCCGGTAAAAAGAAATATATGAAATTACCTGATCGCCAAAAAAGTAAAACCCTTCCAAATGAACATTTCCACATCTAAAATATAAAATAACTTTACCTCTAAATCATCTTACATTATACATACGTCACCAACGAATTCATACCGCAAGCATTACAAATACTTAGTATCAAATATTTAAATTATTTCCATGCACGTTTACTTCAACTTAAACGTGTAACCGAATTCCTACAAACATAAAATTCACAAAATAACTATCATTTAATTAAAATATCACTAAACCATGTACACGCCCGACTTATTTTTTACTTAAAAAAACATCCAGAATTGCACAAAAATGGCCATGCGCACACTCTTCACTATATCCATGGACACTGCTTTTTTCTCATAAATTAGAAAAATTCACGAAAATACATGACAATTTTCTCAATCTTTAACCCGTAAAAAGAACATATATGAAATTACCTGATTGCGAAAAAGTATTTACCCTTTCCAAATATGAACATT